TGACTAAGTATTTGCTCTTTCATTTCCCGTAATGTGGCAGTGGCCTGGGATACCTTTGAGCACAGTATGCTCGATTTTGCTGACCCATTTGATTCAGCACGTTGATAAGACCAATCGTTTTTTAAGGCTCTGAAACTTAAAGCACAACTAAAAGACATGAAGCCTTATTACAGGTTTTCGAAAACAGTCTTACGACGAATCTTTGGAACCATCAAAGATGCAAACGGCGGTAACTGGAGAGTGAGAAGCAACAACGAAATTCATAATCTGTTTAAATCACCACTGGTCAGTGGCATCATGAGAGCTAATAGACTGAAATGGTTGGAATGCCAAATGACAGAGAAGTAAAAACTGTTTATACGAGGGAGGCGAATGGTCATTGATCACGAGGCAGACCAAAAAGATTATGGAGAGATAATATTCAGACAGACCTGCAACACTTGGTGTCACCAACTGGAAAGAGAAGGCCAACCAGAGAGATAAATGGAGGCGGGTGATATCTGCACCAATGAACCTCAAGGGCTTGGAATGCTGAAACAGAAAAATATTTGATTCAGCAGAAGTCAGATGACCCATATGATTCAAGAGAGATTTACACTGTCAGCTGACCCATTTGATTCGGCAGAGATCTATGCTATCATCTGACCCATTTGATTCAGCAGAGGTCTAAGCTAGAGATCTATATATATATTTTTCTTTGTCTTCCCTTGTCATTGTGACGTAATTGCGTTGTGCCTGTTTTCTGCAGAGCTGAGATATTTGCGCCTTTCAACCGACACATCCGACTGCATTTGTTGACCGAGTTAACTTCCGGGGAAATCTATACATTGTACCGTTTTATCTGTTAAACATGTTTCATATGATATTGACAGTTCTACCGTGTTCTGAGATACTGCCAAAAATACATCAATTATTAATGGTATGCCGTCTCCACAATAAAGGCGTTCTGCAGTGTAATCATTACTGCCTTTGAGAATATTACGCGGTCAAGTCTAAATCTCATCCAGTGTGCGACTCTCGTACCATTGTCTGAAAGCCACCAGAAGTCTTTTTCTAAACGGTCGCTTCGGAAATAGAACCTAGGCCAATCGGGGATTGTGAAACGCTCTCTTACCTCTAAGCCACTGGTGTGTTTAGGAATCATACAGAAATGCCTTGGCAACCACTAGTAGCAACATTTAAGCCACTGGTGTGTTTAGGAATCATATAGAAATGCCTTGGCAACCACTAGTAGCAACATTTAAGCCACTGGTGTGTTTAGGAATCAGCCAGAAATGCCTTGGTCACCACTAGTAGCAACATTTAAGACAAAGAAAATGGCCATGTATTGGAGACATTCTGAGAAGCAACGATTAGAGATTCACCAAACGAGCAGCGGAATAGAAAAAAAAAAAAAAACGGATTGATAAAGCGAGGACGTACAAAAGAAACCCTCAAACGAACGTTGATGAGAGAGGCCAAAGGTGCTGGACTGATTTCCATCAGTGATATTGAATTGACAGAATGAAGGACGGATTGAAGAAATAGACGGTGAACGCTATGTGACATATAATGGCATGAATGGACAAAGAGTAAAAAAATGAATAAACGCTTATGAAGCCAATCAGTGATAGACAACAATATAATTTAATAAAATGAAATGAGCCATTATTACAAGTAATGCAACTAGGCTGCTTTTCACAACAGATAGAAAAATTAATATACTTACGAATGCAGACGTGTTGCTCTTATATTTGCAAGGATCCATTAGGAATAAATATTCACCCTAGAAAAAGGATACAAAGAAATCTGAGTTTTTCAATCTGTTGTGTAGTTGCATGTGTTTATTTATGTGTGCGCGTATTTGTGTTTCTGTGTTTGTGTGTACATACGCGCTCGTTCATATGCACAAGGTCTAACAGTAATTGGTCCATGGGAAAAATAAAATAATTACTCATCTGAAGGTGTGAGTAGGAGGAAGATAGGTAGGTAGTTGTACCCCACCAGGACATCACACAAGCGATAAACACTCGGTGACAGAAAGTGCCACCATGCGGATGAGGATCACAGGTGGAGAGGTAGCCAAAACCCCTTTCAGCCTTTAGGCCATACTTATGGCCCGGCTATATTCAGGGCCCCCGGCGAAAGCCAGGGTGGGGCCTTAAAATAACTAAGGAGGAGGAAGATTACATTGATAGTAATAAAATTAACAATAATTAATAAAGAGAAGAAGGAGGAGAAGAGACAAATGATAATGATGATCAAGTGGATGAAGAAGAAGATAGATCAGGGAGACGGAGGAGGAGTTAGACGCTATGGTTATTGTAAAGTTTATGATGTTGCTGAGAATTTACGAATTAACAAATCCAAGAACCAAGGACACCAACAGCTGTATATACCAGTTGATTGTAAGCTCTCCCATCGTAGAACAACACGGACGGTTTCGTTGGCGTGTGAATGCTGCAAGGGCCTCTAATCAGCTCATCACAAAGACTTGTCAGTCCTTTCTTTCTCCGAAAGTCAAAACTGTCGCACTGCACAAGAAGTAGGTGCAAATATGTTAGGAGTATCAGTGGCGGCTCCTCGCTAATGTTTGTGTGGGTGCAGCTTCAAAAAATTTCCTGACACATTTTTAATATTGTGTACAACAAAACAAGGTGTGATGCTGTCCACATCATCCGCCAGTCCCGATTGGTCTATAAAATATAGGTCCTGCTCTATACGCCAAATATGCCCGAAGGCGTGAACAGAGCCGTTTACTTTATTTTACTTTAAAACAAGACAAACATAGAACAAATATATATATATATATATATATATATATATATATATATATATATATATATATATATATATATATATAAAATACATAAATCTTTTTAAAGCGTTTCTCAGTTAAATATAATATTTGGGAGCATTATAATCATATCATTGTACGCTATACCATATACAAGAACAAATAACACAAAATGCATCGGGCATATGGGAAGAACACACCCTGTTTTTACAGACCAATCGGTACTAGTTGGGTAATGTGGTCAGCATTACGCCGGCCGTCTTTACTTCCCCAGGACATCCATCCTGGTACCCATTTTAAGCTGGGTCGACCTGCGACGCCCCACACCATGATAAAAATCCACGCAGCCAGCTGGGGGTTTTGATCGCGATACGTTGGAATTACGAGTCGGACTCGCAACGCCAAAGCCACTGACGCCGACTTCCAAGAACAAGGTGAACGGTTTCCAAACACAACGCACACTGAATCAAAATGAAACAGTACACTTCCAGAACATGATCAGCTGGAAAAAAAAGTCCCATCTGCCTCAAGTTTAGGTTATTATCCCGGGCATGTGCCCAAGAACACAAAAGCCAAACATTCCATCGAACAGTGAAGCACAGTTTCATAAAGGACTTTTGCATTTAAAAAAACAACAACCCATGAACTAGGAATGGCCGCTGACACATAAAACTCAATTCTATAGTTAATGTACAAGTACAGAGGGGACCAATGGGGTGTGGGGGGCGGGGCGGGGCGGGGTGGGGGGGGGGTACTCAAACTGACTGTTACAAATAACATCGAATAGGTTAGTTGCGTATCCTTTACAGGACTTTGCAGAACCCACCCCAGCAGCCCCTGGCTGTTGTGTGGTTTCTCTAGAAAAATTTACTTCCAGTAGTTTGCTTTCTGGACGGTTGGCCCCTTGATACCCACTATTGAAACCAACGCAAGGCGAATGGCCCGCAACTGCGATCGAACCCGGTATCCCGGCATTACGAAGCGTTCTCATCGACTTAGCCACAGAGCCGACTAACATAGAAAAATAATTTAAAAAACAACAAAAAACAACAGAGAGTGCTGCAGTTCCGCAGTGCATACTGCATATACCCGAGCCACTACAAAACAGTATACAGTGCTATCTCAATATATGGGCATTCTGGGCAGTTGTCAAAAGGCACCTTAAAGCTTGTGTAAGGATGGTCCGGTACATAGTTTTGCCCGGCGCCAATAACACTTTTAAGACTGAATTAAAAGCATGTCAAATAATTGTTACATGAGCTTTTTGTACATGACTATCTGCCAGTCTTTTAGAAAGAAAATAGGAGCTCTTGAGCTGAAATGCTGTAGAAAGATACACACGGAAAAAGAAGAAATAATGCCACTTTGAAAGATCTGAAGATTAATGGAAATTGGCTTATAAACAACATGCTGTCTCGGAAGCTGACATTTCAAAAGATCTGAATATCAAGGAAAACTGGCTAATAAACAGCATGCTGTCTCGGAAGCTGACATATTTTGGTCATATCAAGCGCCATGACGGATTGGAAGAAATAATAGCAGAAGGCGTGGTACCAGGAAGGAGAGGCCAACACGAAGATAGGCACAAGATATAAGTGACTTCTTGAAAATAAAAGAACACGAGGTGGGAGAGCTGGCGAGAGACAGAGTTTCTTTCAGGCAGACCGTCATGAGAGCGACCTTCTGCAAAGGACTTGCTTTGACGATATACATGTCAATGTCACAATGTTAACATGTCTCTGTGTATTGTATTAAGACTGTGCAACGTTGGGTCATGTTCCTTGAAGTCAGAGTGCATCTGCTTATGAGACGAGGAACCAGCAGTCTGCATCGTATACGCCACATTTGTAAAATACACGTGCATGCAAATTCAAGGTCTGGCACAAGACGAAGTAGAGATGTGTAACTCTCCGAAAAGCATGTCGTAAAAGGCGAATAATTAGGGATTTCCCCTCCCTCCTATGAAGTCGCAGCACATCTTCCTAAGCGGCGAGTAACCAACAGTCTGCATACAATAAAACCAGATATGTTAAACAGATGTGCACGCAAAATTCAAGTTCTCAAACACCGTTCAGAAGTGGACGAATAACCAGAAAGTTCCACTAGATTTTACAGCGGTTAACGCTAGGAAGAAGCAGAGAGAAGATGGGTCACCAAGCCGCTGTTGACGTTTGAGCATGTGCCTGCACTGATGGCCACCAGAAGGCGCTCGAAGTGATATCTTTGTATTTGTGGCCCTTTCAATCTCCCAGATTCTGGAGGCAGGTCTTTCCTGCCCCAACTCCCCCTTTTTCCCCATTTCCTTTTTTGAGGCACCTAGCCATGCAGTTAACTTTGGAAAAGCCTATAGATCTTATTGCCTATTTCTTTCTTTCTTTCTTTCTTTCTTTCTTTCTTTCTTTCTTTCTTTCTTTCTTTCTTTCTTTCTTTCTTTCTTTCTTTCTTTCTTTCTTTCTTTCTTTCTTTCTTTCTTTCTTTCTTTCTTTCTTTCTTTCTTTCTTTCTTTCTTTCTTTCTTGCTTGCTTTCTTTCTTTCGTTCTATACTTTACTTTTTTGTTTACCCATTTCTTCTATAATTTACTTATCAATTTCTTCTATTCTTTACTGTTTTTACTTACTCTTATTGTCTACACTTTACTTATTTACTTACATATTTCTTATATTTTTTACTTTGTTTACTCACCATTTACTTTTATATTTTACTTATTTTCTAACCAATTTCTTCTATATTTGCTTATTTAGTTAGCCGTTTCTGCTATACTTTAGTATTTTGCTAACCCGTTTCTGCTATACTTTCCTTATTTGCTTACCCGTTTCTTCTATACTTTACTTATTTGCTTACCCGTTTCTTCTATACTTTACTTATTTGCTTACCCGTTTCTTCTATACTTTACTTGTTTGCTTACCCGTTTCACACTTTTGGTCAGCATGTCCACCTCGTAAGGCGCCAGATCCGGTAAAACCTCTAGCGAGTGTCCAACGTTATCTCTTTTTCTAGTCATAGTTTCGCCCATTCTGGTGGTAATTTGTTAGTAGCTGCAAGCGATACAGCTTTCAACAGAACTGCTGAATAATGGAGCAGAATTATCACATAAAGATGTATCTTAAATGTTTTACTCAGATGACAAATCCCTGAGGCCGTAGAAACAATACTGTTTTACTTTTACTCTGCGATTTTACGGTTTGTAGTTTGGCATATGCTGCTGATAAGTCGGCTCCCGATACCTCTGTCTTCCCTTGTGGGTTCCGGGGCCCCATTGTGGAGGGGTGGGGTTGGGGGGGGGGAACAAGAATACACCTACTGCCGAAACCAACATAAGGCCGTCTGCTATCAGATCAATAACAGGTGCAATTAAACCGGGTACTTCATTGTGAAGTGGGTTCGCAACGTCTAAGCCACAGACGCTGACTGAAACAGTATAATTAACAGGGAAAAAGTACTTGAAGTTGGTCATTCATCAAAGTTCCTCCCACGAGGCTCTGTCGTCATTTGGAGTTTATATGGTAGCTAAAGCTTTCGATGTGTGTGCTCTCTAATGTGCGCGCCCATCTCTCCAATTATTTCTTTAAGTGGTTATCAATTCGTGAGTTTGCCGTAATAGTTATGGACCTGGTTATTTGAAAGAATATATGAACACTTTTAGCGATGTTTATACAACAGTTTTGACGTACAGTGCAAGTTTCAACCCGAAAGTCTTTGTTTCAAGCAATTGTTACGTTAAATGAACCGTTCTCTGATTAATTATATTTTTTCAGGTTTCTGAATCACGGAAAGTGTCAGTATTTGGCTACTTTTCCTGACAACAGAAAAATTAAGAGAAAACGCAACTTAAATAATTAAACGGCACTTTAAATATTTTTTGGTATTTTCAGTTTATAATATACAGATTAGGTAATATAGTACAATTAAGTTTGCTGTAAAATATCAATGTATGTGAAAGCAATTATTAATGTGACGTTGATGCGTGGTTTAAATGTTTATGTTGTTGAGTAGGGATCTTCCTTTCAACACATTCTCTCCACTAGATACACCGAACTAAATCTGAGCTATGTTGCTCTCAGACAAAGTCCTGGATATCCAAGAAAACAGCCATATTGGCTCGTTAAGTACTTTAACATTAGCTGCACTTGGTACCCACAAGAGAAGGCAAGGAATTTTAGATGTCTATAGCATTTTAGTATAATGAATTATTAGACAGGGCAAATGATTCCTCCGTCATCTACCTTCTCCCGGTGCTATTATTAATAATTAAAGAATTATTATATTATTTGAGCCCCCACCAAATGTACTTCTATCTATCAGTTTAGAAAACAGGTAAGATTGAATACATTTGGAATTTAACAAACGATGTAGTATAAAACTTGACATACAGCTTTATTTTCTAACAATCAGTTAATTGACATACCCAGTTTGTTGTGTTTACACAAACAGTGACTAGCTAAAGTTATGATAGTAATGGGTTGTTTCAGCGCGAGAACAGCACCTGGGATTAGAGTGGTGTGATGAAGGTGATAAAGTATGAACAATTTATGAACATAACTTTCATAGAACCTCTGACAGCCGTGAGCACTGTCAAGCTCTTCCTCCTCTTCCAGCTTCTTCCCTGCTTGTTTCTCCTCCTCGCCCCCACCTCGTTCTCCACCTCGTTCTCCACCTCGTCCCCAGCTGGCCGAGTCTAACACAATGTAGGCTACTTCATGGACTGATCGTCACATGGGCGCTGTAATCAAGGAAACAAAACACATACGTGTAGTATCTTGACTTACACTAAGAATACATGTATCAATTAATACAACATATAATAATAGGATATAGTAATAAGATATAGCCCATCACTCCTCCTCATATTCCACATCCTCTCCAGTCTAGTCTGAAGGTCTTTTGTCTTACATGGGCGTCACATATCCTGCCTTCCCTCAAATGCTATGTCATGATAGTTGACTTTCTAAGTCTGTTGTCCGTCTTCACTCAGACTTCGAGTTGGCTGACATAGATATTACATGACCACGTGGAGCAGGTTATGTGCTGAAAACTCAAACATTATATATGTGCACGCTGTCCTGAATATTATCTTTCAGTGACAGTAAATACTGTACACCCATCATTCTCCCCCTGGGGTTATAAATCCCCTGTTTAGGTGAACACATTAAGTGAGCACATGGTGGGCACACAAAACGTAGCAGCATCCCTGCACATATTTGGGCATCATTTCCCACAGTCCCAACTCATATTTTGGCTGATCGTGAAAACAATATAATTACATTTCATTATAGCAAATGTCATTGTTCACATCTTATTTTATACACATGAAAACATACAATGAAAAACATGTGACACAAACATACAGGAAATAGGAATAGTTTAGCAGTTCCTTAACTTGAGATACTGAATACTCACAGAACTATTTCAAGCAGAATGTGCAGACAAATTAGGAAAAGGTAGTATAGACTAAGCTTAACTCCCTAACCTAAGTATACAAGATTAAAATTAATATTTTCTCTCACCTGGGAACTTCCCATTTATCGCCAAACCAGAGTACGACAGTAAAATATACCTTTACGTCGACCTGTTTGTTTGCCGGCAGGCTGCGATTAATGACGGGAATTCCACAGGCTCGCAGTATAAGTATTAATCTATTGTCCAAATTAAACTCCTCCCTTTCCTTAGTTTTTACCCAACCCTCAAGATGATGGCTTAAGCTCCTCCTCCGAAGTACCTATCAAATCACATTAGCTAACAAGTGGCCTGTCAGTCAATTATGGACTGACATCCCTAGAGCAAACATTCTTAAGTGCCCCAATCTAGTTTACCCCGAATTACACTGACGTGTTAAACTTTAAACTTCTCCTCGCCTCAATGTCTACAGTCCGCTCAATTCCCCTGTTCAAAAGGGCCCCACTCAGGCTGTGTTAGGAGATAACATTATGACACTGGCGTGAGAATCAAACCTACACCCCTAGTCTCATCAAAAGTCTGTTCAAAGCAGTCTGGTCAGGAGATAACATTTATGACATGGGCATGTGAAAGGGAATTCTCTAGCCCCGGTGTAATTGTGTAACATTACCCAAGACTGAGTCGCTTTGTCTGGACTAAGGACTGGAAACAATTTAAATCCGTGCGGTTTAAAGCAATATTAGGATAAAGCGCAGAGTAAATATAATTCTGTCTCTTTAGAACCAGAAGAACTTATTACAAGTACTAACTTCTGGAATCACTGAGATCGTCTCGTGACAATTAACTAGGTGGTTTTACACTTCTGACCACCTCTGTAAATAACTTAGCTGTCCTGCCCCCCCCCCTTTTCACCACACCCCCCCCCCCCCGACAACAAAAAATCCTCTGTTATAACAGTATGTATAAGGTTGAAGGTAGTCAGGTAGTCTTAGTTTCAGCTTCATAGCAAACGGGTTACCCCATCTTTGCTCCGCTCCTGTGCCAACGAAAAACACACAGAATGTTTATCACAGTATTAGAATTGCAGTTCATCATTGATGGTAGCAGAAGTCGCCAACAGATCAGCAGTTGCCCACGCGATCAATTTTAATCACATACAGGCACCACAACACTGCAAGACAGGCATCGCGCCATTTTCTGAATCTACAATTCACACCAACACGTTGGTCACAGTCGAAAAAACATTCTAAATGCAATTCGCAGCTCACAGGGTCACGCCATGCATTCAACTCAGAAGCTGGGCGACGAAACTATATCCAGTCTACAGATGGAGCAAAAATGCATCGGCCACCACCCGGCAGAAGCAAAAAAATTGCCTCTGTTTCGAACAGCGCCGCTGTCTAGCGTCCATTTTCACCGGAAGGTTGAAATCCGCGTGTGCGTTCCAGAACCTACCTATGTGGGGAAAATATGGCCAGTTGTCCCTTAGCAAGCATTCCCAGTTGGTGACATATTTAGAGAGCATTTCATGGAGATTTTGTCTGACTGAGTCTGGATGAAACTGTTTCTCTTGATCATTCATTCAATCAAGCAATCAGGTGCCGTCTTCACACTGAAAGCTGGCTGTCATAGATCTCTTGTAGTGGTTGTATACTCTTTCATACTGCTGCCATCTTGATGTTGTCCTCCCACTTGTATCGTTGCCCTCCTCTTGATCTTTTGCCTTCGATCTTTCCCTCCAGTATGCTTTTAAAAGCATGTTATGTCTTTTAATGGATCTCTTAATCAAGTAATTCCGAACACTTTCAGTTAAACAGAATAGCACTCGGGGTCCATTCTCATATTTTTTTGTCTTTTGCAACAAATTTCGAATGCATCAAATTCTTGTTAAACAACGAACCAGTCAATACAATGATATATTTATATCCGCTATTACAATTTTGCGCTGTACCCTTAACACTAATCCTGTCTTGATGTACGGAATTTAATCATGGACAGTTGGTGGATTAGAGAAATATTATTTGGAAGCTGCGGAGATGGGGTTTTACAGACGAATGATGAGAATAACTTTGCGGATAAAAAGAGTAATGAAGATGTCTTGAAAGAAACTGACTCACAAAAAGAATTGATTGCCCACATCAGAAAGAGACAATCTACATTCTTTGGTCATGTGACAAGAAGGAGAAAACTGGAGTACATCGTGTCAGTAAGAAAACTGGAAGGAAGGAGTGGCAGAGGGAGACGATGAGAAAAAATGCTAGACAGTCTGAAAATTTATCATGGGAGATTACCTGTGTCAGAGCTGATTGAAAGTACACCAGACAGAAGGTTGTGGACAGACATGACTACCAACGCCTCACGGCATGAACTTTAAGAAAAAGACTCCTAGCAAATCTAACATAAAAATCCCAGAGTAAACGGAACAAATGTGACTTTTCTACAAACCATGCACTTGAGGGTAAAAGCCAACTGTTTTGAAATACTGTGTTGAAATACAGAACTTAGTTGCTTTGTGTGACAGCTGTCTTGCCTGCAATTAAGAATTATTCTGCCTAGCCTGCAGCTCCCCCGATGTTATTTCCTGTGACGTAATCATTTCTTGTTGGTATATTTCCTTTTTTACCTCATCATCATCATCATCATCATCATCATCATCATCATCATCATCATCATCATCGCGTGCCTTGTCAACTAGAGTTGGTGATCATGCCTCTCTACAATCTGTGATCCGCAACTGCAATTATCAGTTCATGTATTGACACCCATCTGTGCCATGACAAAAGGCTGTCAAGATTCTTCCTCGGTCTCTCATTCCCCAGATCTTTTCAGTGATCTCATTTCCACTTTCCCTCTTCTCATAACATGACCAAAAATCATGACCGTCTCTGATGTTTGTGATACGTTTTCTTCGAGCCCTCACCTCTTTAAAAAAAAAAACATCTGGGTTGCTCCTTTTGATTGTCCAAGGAATTTTGAGAAACCACAGTTCCGAAGACTAAAAAAAAAAAAAAAAATGTACGGCTTTTCCCAACCTCTAGTGATTTGGATTTATTGCATTTATAAAGTGCAGTTTTAGCCTCTCCTATTCTGTTCTTTAACTCTGTGATACTTTTTCCTTGGGATGAGTTATCAGTTGGATTATTTTCACAGCTCTACGGACATGTAGGTGCTTAGATTCCCAATGCTGGTTAACAAGACTATGTGCGTCCGGTGTGCTTCTCATGCTTATCTGTGCCGATTACTCCAATTTCTCATATTCTTAGCAGTGATGTGGGCACGCTGCTTCCAAAATCCTCGGAACGTCCTATCTCTCTAAGGACATTAACAATGTCTACGTGATCCAAGGACTGACCATCTGTATTTAATGCGGAGCCTGCCAGTCTATCAGCTCTTTCATTGCGCATACACAGGAGAGTTCTGCAATGACTCAATCCACTGACTGCGTAACGTCTGCCTAACGAGACTGCCTCTACCCGTCGGATCATGCTCATAGAATCACCCAGCACACACACGCGAGAAAAGTCCTGTAATTCTAGTCTTATGACGCAATCACCTCCATCGTCGTGCTACTGGTAGTCGTGGAGCAGGTACCGCTGGCATCTTGGAATGTTCTATCTGTAAAGCGAGCTGTAAATGCCCATGCACTCTTATGTTCTCGTATAACTGGCCCGTCTGTGAAGACAAACACATCTGTTTCATCTGACTTGTCAGTGAAAAGCGCGCAGACCTCGGCGTTGACAGCAACGGAATTCTGCTCTCGACAACTCTTTTATTCAGGCGTCTCCGTGGTGAAGTGGCAAGCTGATTGCCTTGCGCTCTGAAGGTCGTGGGGTTGTTTCAAGGCGGAGCGGTTAAGTTAACGAGTGCACTATTTTACGGAGGTCCATGGGGATCTTCGCCGGCGCTACGGACGTCGTGCTCTGTGCGACGCTCTCGGCAGGCATCTAGCGGTTTTGCAGAGAGAAACTGAGCTATATGAGATAAAGCCAATCCTCACCCCTTGACCTTTATCATTCCTCGAGATGTTATACGTATGCCTGGTTACTTAATTCATTTCCTGTACTACTTCGAAAATAACGCCTTTGACTTTCATTAAATATTTAACAGTATTATCTTCTTTGATATTACTATTACTTCTCTCTTTACATTATTTAAGTTAAGGTTCCTTCCATCACTTTTAACCAATCTATCAATTTTGGTATTTCTGACTTGTCCTTGATCAAAACGTACTTACTAACCTTAAAAAAAACTCAAAAATAACTTTCAAACTCATACAGTTACTGGTGCCAAGGGAATTCGAACTCATTGTTTGCTGCTGAAGATGTGGATGAAGCGCTTATGGGGGTTGGGGAGGAAGGGGGAGGGGTGGGGGTCCCGAGTTCTCTGATGTCGATTTATAATTCAACATTCCTTCGAACTCATATTGTGACGACTTTTTGGTGGTCACATGACAACCCGTCTCCAATGAAAACAACATGGCGGACGACTCGAATAAAATTGAACAGGAGCGAAGGGAAGCCTATATTGGAGAGAAACAGAATCATCTACGTGATGGTGATAAGAAATATATTATTTTCACCTGGAAAAACAAAAAACTTAGCTACTTATCATGGTATTATTGTAACTTCATGTTAAGCACTGACTCAGTGACCCCTGAAGAGAGCATTAGTAGCACTGCAGCGCATTCTCCTCCGAACTTCTACCCCGGCATTATGACGGCCAAATACCCTAACAGGGCCTTATTCCTATATAAATGCTGACTTTTCGGACTTCCTGCCGAGGAACAAATCCGGCAAAACTAGTGTTGGCTCCGAATAACAAAACAAATGCTCTAACAGGGTCTCAGTGGTATGTTGATTACGGACCTGTTTTTGCGACTATGCCGCACCGCCGACAGTATTCCCGTAGCGCGGTGCGGATCGGGACTAAACTAGATGGCTGGGACTAATGAACAGCAGCTACCGCATCTCCTGCAACTTCCTCCAATTTATTTGCTTGTGAGTCCCAGGCATCTAGTTTAGATCCCCATCCGTGTCGCGCGTAGCGGCGCGGGAGATACGCTCGTGGTGAGTTTAATCAGAAGAACACTATTGCTAGTCTGCGTCGGAGCACGTAGTCTCCCCGCTATGTCGCTATTATCGTCTGTAATGTTGCTGGTCTCAAAATTGTCAATGGTCGCTCGTATCATCTGCTAGTATCGTCTGCAGAAAAGCTCGAAATTGTCAACGGTTGCTATTATCGTCTGCTACTATTGTCTGCAGTGTTACATCTGTTGAAATTGTCAGGTATTCCTAAGTTTTGTCATGATTTGTTCGTCGCAGGAAGTCTGCATTTTTATAGGGTATTTGTTTGGCAGGGGTAGAAGTTCAGAGGAGAGTCTTGTGATTGTGCTGCTGCCTAGCCTCCTAGGCCTATGTATTCTGTCCCAGCTATGTGTTCAAATCTGACCGAATCACCTAAAAGTTTAATTGTTTGAATAATTTACCAGAGCTCTAAGATTGATCCATATTCTAGTACCAGAGAATTTTATGGAATTAAAGGTCATAATCATTATCATGAAGCAGGTCTTTTGCAGAACATCGCTCTCATCACGGTCTGCCTGAAGGAAGCTCGGTCTCTCGCCAGCTCTCCCACCTCGCGTACTTTTGTACTCCAGGAGTTACTTATATCCTGTACCCATCTTCTTGTTGGGCGGCCACTGCCCCTCCTTCCTGGTACCATGCCTTCTCCTATTATTTTTTACAAGCCGTCATGATGCTTGATATGACCAAAATATTTCAGCTTCTGAGACAGGATGCTGTTTATTAGCCAATCTTCCTTGATTTTCAGATCTTCCAAGATGTCAGTATTTCTCCTCTTCTTTTTTCCAAGATATTCTGAGAATCTTTCTATAATTAAAGGCCACCAGTGTAATATTGACCATAGTGATTCTGCGAGTTCTCAGTTCAGAACTCTTTGGTCTTTATTTCTTTTACAAACACCAATTAGCAAGCACCTCATGCCAAGACACGTCATCAAGGGGTAGGACAATAATAATTTATAATTCTTGAATTTGGAAAAATAAAATCATGAGTCCTGCATAGCTTTGTAGATCTTTAAAAATTTAGTTCAGAGGTACAACGGTCTGACATCCAAGTCTCTCTGCTCATTCTCATTGAAAGTCGGAGTGCATCTGCCTGAGAGGCAAGAGACCAATAGTCTGCACACAAATGAGGCAGATAAGTTAAATGGATGTGCAACCGAAACTAAAGTCCTTGAAAATGGCCAAAGTCCTGGTCCACAAATGGATGAACAACCAGTGCTTTTCACAAGAGTGTACAGTCGGTGAATAAAAAAAAAAAATGTTCACCCTTAGACAAAATATGACTTTTTAGATACCTGCTCAAGATACAAGACACACATACAGCTAGTAGAATACAGAATAATTATACATAAAATTGTATAATGAAAAGACAAAGGTAATGTGAATCTATCAATCATGTACCTTCTCCACATTGAAGGTTGGCTGCAGGGGATCTCCGCCATGCTCTGTCTTTCACCTTGGGTGTACTCTCTGTCAGACTGCTGGACTGCTGTTCATCCATCTCACTCTCACTTGTGTCACTGTCTGTCTCTTGCTCTATTGTCTTCAACCTTTCCCTCCAGTATGTCTTTTAAAATGGTAAAAAAAATTTATTTGTCTCTATTTAAAAAAAAAATTTTCAGCAACTTTCATTTCATTCCTAGTTTCTAAAAGTAAATGAATTAACTAATGAATTAATTATTATATTTTTGCAGGATATGGAACCTACATTTATAAGAACTCATTTTTTCGCTATGAGGGACAGTGGTTGAAGGGAATAAAACATGGTTTGTAGATGTCACTGTTGTATGATAATATATTTCTTAATATAGAGCTACATGTTATTACTTTATGTGTAACAACACAAAGTTGACAATTACATGCATGCAGAGCCTTTATTTTCGTGTGGTTTGCAGTGGAACACCTTTTTTTTTAAGCAAAACTTTTTGTTTGAGATTGACAATTGTATTATTTCTGATCAATTCATGGCCACTGTTGAATTTTTAAACTTCTTAAGCCATCCACTATCTGCAGCTGAAATCCATAGACTCCAAAACTGCTAAACTTTGACATGCGTATAAGGAACAAAGGGATAGTTTATCTATTGATTGGACATGTATATTGTTAATGCACAAATGTAAGTTTATGTGGCAAAGTCAGTAACACTTTTGTTAAAATACAAAATATTTTTGGCCTTTTAGATGTTTTATTGGGTGAGTATTGGCACCTTTTTTCTAGAAAAATATCCCTGCAAGCAGCTTGTCATTGAGCCAATTGAGTGCCATTTGGCCTAAAAATAAATGAATCTATCACCATATGCCCTGTACACCAATGGCATTAATAGGGTCCTTTGCAATGACTGTTTTTTTTGGGTTTTATAGATGTAAAACAAACTTGATATGGTCAAGATCCTTTAGAGGCAAGTAAACAAGGCAGAAGCAAATAATTATCACACTCTAAAGAAAATTATGCAGTAGGGAATGACCAGGGATCTAGCCAACACCTAACACGCAGAGGAAGAGAAAGCTAGACATACAGTTGCAATTACTTTCGTTGTTGTGTGTTTGTTGTTGTTGTTTAAACTGAGTTCAGTCAAGAATTGACATCACGGCACTCGGGGCATTCCCAGTACCGTCCTTATCTTAAGTATCCAGTGCAGAGTTCCAATACTAATGGTACCAGTTGTAATCTTTTTTTAATATTTTTTTTAAATTTTTTAATTTTTTAATTTTTATTTTTTAAATTGATGCATAACAAGCTTGATGTGGTCAAGACCCTTTGGATTCAAGTAAAGAAACACAAACAAATCATTACAGGCTAAGGAGAATTATACAGCAGGAAATGATCAGATATCTGGCCGACATCTAACACCTAGAGGAACAGAAAAGAAAGATGGACATACAGTTAGGCTGCTGCTGCTGGTTCATCTCAATTGAAACTGCTGAAGATAGGGACAGCGTGCTTATGGAAACATCCTGAATACTGTGATGTCAGTTTTTAACTAATCTTAGCTCTACAATCACTTGTATATAGACTACTTTTTGCAATGTTTTCAGGTCATGGAAAACTTGTGATGAAAGATGGAACATATTATGAAGGACAGTTTGTAAAAGGCGAAATAAATGGCAATGGTTATAAATATTCTGCACATGCACAGACAAAATACACCGGGCAGTTTCTCTATGGAGAAATGCATGGGGACGGCTCTATGATTTATAAGAATGGCAGCGTGTATGATGGTCAGTGGTACAGGAACAAGAGACACGGTCAGAATTCATTAGTTTTGTATGTTCTTGTGTGTATAAGTATGCATTTGTAGCTAAGGGATTAAAAACACAGTTTAATAATTCTGACATACAGGGTTTTATTCATCTGCAACAGTTTGGCAGCAGACTGCTTTATGTGACTTTGACATTGGTATAAGCATCAACCATTCAGTCTGATGGCAAGATAATGAACATATATTTGATTTTTATTAAAAAAATGATGTTGTGTCTCATCATAGGCTGGCTGCAATATATCCACCTCTAACTGTGAAAATATTACTTCATGAGGTGGAAATAACTTCCATTGTATGATTCTCATACCACTGTCTGAGAGCCATAAGAGCAATCTTATTTCTGTTTTCCCAACACTGGCATTAAACCCTAAGAAACTCAAGGATTGCATTGTGAAATGATTTCACTTAGATCAAAGCCACAAAACCGCACAAGGGAATATAACACTGGCAAGTAAAACCACTATATAACACTGGCCAGTAAAACCACTCTATAACACTGGCCAGTAAAACCACTATATAACACTGGCCAGTAAAACAACTATATAACGCTGGCCAGTAAAACCACTATATAACACTGGCCAGTAAAACAACTATATAACATTGGCCAGTAAAACCACTATATAACACTGGCCAGTAAAACCACTATATAACACTAGCCAGTAAAACCACTATATAACACTGGCCAGTAAAACCACTAACAGCCCACAAATGGGGCTGGTATGGACATCCTGGAAAGGATAATCTTCTTCTTCTTCTGAGCTCACCGGTTGTAACTCTTACAGAAAGTTATAGTGGTTCATCCATCCCTGGACTTTGGTCTGGAACCAAAATCTGAGTTTTGCATGCACAACCATTTTACAGATCTGGTTTATTTGTATGCAGACTTTTGGTTTCCTGCCTCTCAGGCAGATGCACTCCGACTTTGAAGGAAACAGCCCACCTAGTTCCCCTCCTACTACATGCTTGTACACACACATACAAACATACATACATACATACATACACACATGCACACACACACACATACACGCACACACACACACACACACACACACATATACATACATACATTTCACTAAGATGTTTGTTCACTGTTTACTGAATCCATAGGGCCTTGACCAAATTAAGCTTGTTATGTATCAATAAAAAAAAACCCACACAGATTACTACTGGTACTATTAGTATTGGGATTGTGTTATGCTGTAAGAGGGGTGGGGGGGGGGGGGAGGGTGTCACAATCAGCACAAAGAGACATCTTATTCAAAGCATATTTATTCCAACTCTGTGCTACCAGTGCCAGACATGGTCACTCACAACAAACCATAAAAGAAAATTAGTAACCATGGAAATGAGATGTCTGAGAAGGGCTGTGGGAGTGACCATAAGAGATAAGATCAGGAATGAGATCATAAGAGAAAAAGTCGGCACAGAACCAATTCTAAATTACATACGAAGACAGCAAGTGAAATGGTTTGCCCACTTAGAGAGAATGCCTTGTGACACCATACCATACAAAGCATACATGGAAAGAGAAGAAGGACGTAGAGCATGAGGTAGACCAAGAACAAGATGGAAGGATAACATCAAAGAAATTCTACAACAGCACGATGTGCCCATGGTCGAGGCGGCCAGAAGAACTAGAGACAGAACCTTTTATCTCCCTCAACACCCACAGCGGTAAAAGAGGAAGTGAAGAAGAAGAAGACCATTAGTATTGGAACTCTATGTTGGCTGCTGAAGCTGAGGACAGTACTGGGAATGCTCCGAGTGCTGTGATGTCAATTCTTGACTCAATTCAATTAATTCTGTGTGTGTGTGTATGTGCGTGCGTGCATGCATGCGTGTGTGTGTGTGAATATGTGTGTGTATGAGTGTATGCACGTATGCATGCATGTATGTATGCAGGTGTGTATGTATGTGTGTGTAAGTGGATGATTGAGTTGGTCAGGGTACAAATGTGAGGGTGTGTGTATGCGCGCGAGTGTGCGCATGCATTTACCATGTTTTTTTTTTTTTAATTAATAATAATATAATGCACGTTATTACATGATCATAACATGTTTTATTGATAAAATACAACTGCCATATGAAAGGTGGGTTTTTGGTTTTTGGACAGGCCTAAGATAAGACAGGCCTGTGTGACCAATTTGTGACCCTTTGAAATTACAGTTTTTTCCTTCCAAGGCAGTGCTACGACGCTTTAGAAATGATCTGATACCTAATTTTGCTGCCAGAGTAACAATCATTAAGAATGAAGACATTAGAAGAAGACTCCGACTGAGTTCAGTGATACTGTTCATTAAAGAACAGATGAGATTGTTTGACCATTTGATGAGAATGCCTTTGTACCAACTGCACCAATTAGTGGAGAAGTTTTTGTAGTGTAGGGTTAGACATCTGTCTGAAAAGCTGGGGTTCAAATCTGCATTGTGTCAGATATTTGTCAAAACTGATCTTCGCTCCCAGATCAACCCATTCTAGAATGAGTAACAGCTAAGTATCAAGGGGATTAAAGGTAGCTGGCGAAATGAGGACCACATCACCCACTGAGTGCCGACTAGTTTGCACATCACATAGCATCATTTCCATGATGTGCCTTTGGATTTAAAAGGGTCCTCTTTTTTTTTTTTTTAAACCTGTTATTGATTACTTGTATTTTAAAAATAATTATTTAAGTTATCTTTTTAGAAATAAATAAAGTTGATATAGCAAATGCAATTTCTAGGATTCTTATCCAGAATAATTTATTAATACATTTTACATTGTACCTCCAGGATTTGGTACCTTGAATACAAGAAGGACTGATGAAGTAGTTGTTCAGTTTATTTTTGCAGACAGTGAAGAAGCTAATTCATATGAGTAAGTTTTTATGGTACAATGGTTTCTTTCATTTACAAATTATAACAAATAAGAAATACTCATTTTAAAGGCGCAGCTTGCTTGCTTGCTACTATGATGTTGTTCCATGTGTGTTCCATGGTATTGGAACAAATGAACGAGTTAGAACTGAATGCAGAAATAGACTATGTGAAGTATAATGACATAACAGGATGATGAAAGATTACTGATTTAGGAATCAACTTTACAGCACACTGGCCATACACATACATGCTCTGTCCCCTGCAGCAAATATCTTAAGGTGAAGATGCTATGAATTTCCTTAGTACACTGATTATACACACATAATTCTAGCCCTTGAATATGTTCCTAGTTGCCAGATCCACATCCGACTTCCTAATTCACACATTCTTACACATTATTTTGGTCCACCCTCTATCTTCTGTAAGCATTCGATCGTAAATGGTCTCCTTTGTCCAGTACGAGTGTTCCTGTAGCTATCACTTTTGTGACAAGAAAATCTGGTCTTTCATTTCCTCGCACACCTGCATTTGACTGACCGTATCCCCATGTGAGTCGCAGTAATGTTAGTGAGTCATTGTAATGTTGAAAAGTCCATGTAAGGTTGGTGGGTTCCTGTAATGTTGATGAGTCCCTGTAATGTTGATTAGTTCCTGTACTGTTGATTAGTTCCTGTAATGTTGATTAGTTCCTGTAATGTTGATGAGTCCCTGTAATGTTGATTAGTTCCTGTAATGTTGATTAGTTCCTGTAATGTTGATTACTTCCTGTAATGTTGATGGGGCCCTGTAATGTTGATGAGTCCCTGTAATGTTGATTAGTTCCTGTAATGTTGATGAGTCCCTGTAATGTTGATTAGTTCCTGTAATGTTGATGAGTCCCTGTAATGTTGATAAGTTCCTGTAATGTTGATTAGTCCCTGTAATGTTAATGAGTCCATGTTATGTTAATGAGTCCCTGTAATGTTGATGAGTCACCTTGATGTTAATGAGTCCCTGTAATGTTGATGAGTCCTTGTAATGTTAATGAGTCCCTGTAATGTTGATTAGTTCCTGTAATGTTGACAAGTACATTTAATGTTGATGGATTCCTCTAATGTTAATGAGTCCCTGTAATGTTGAAGAGTCCCTGTAATGTAGAAGAGTCCCTGTAATGTTGATGAGTCTCTATAATGTAGAAGAGTCCCTGTAATGTTGAAAAGTCCCTGTAATGTTGAAGAGTCCCTGTAATGTAGAAGAGTCCCTGTAATGTTGAAGAGTCCCTGTAATGTAGAAGAGTTCCTGTAATGTAGATGACTCCCTCTAATGTTGATGAGTCCCTATAATGTTGAAGAGTCCCTGTAATGTTGCAGAGTCCATGTAATGTTGATGACTCCCTCTAATGTTGATGAGTCCCTCTAATGTTGATGAGTCCCTGTAATGTAGAAGAGTCCCTGTAATGTTGAAGAGTCCCTGTAATGTTGAAGAGTCCCTGTAATGTTGATGACTCCCTCTAATGTTGATGAGTCCCTATAATGTTGAAGAGTCCCTGTAATGTAGAAGAGTCCCTGTAATGTTGAAGAGTCCCTGTAATGTTGCAGAGTCCATGTAATGTTGATGACTCCCGCAAATGTTGACAAACCCTCACAATGTTGATGATAAGGAACATAAAGCATAATATCACTGTAACCTACCATTCAAGTCCTAGGAGGTGACCAAGAAGGGTTGACATGGGAGTGGCTAACTCATACTAAAAAATCTCTAGCTGCAAATTCCAATCATAAATTAGTAAGCAAATCAAGAGGCTGCAGTTACTGGTTATAAGTCTATGTCATTTGACATAGATGAGAGCCATTGTGGTGTAGTGGCTAGACACTCACCTGCAGATCAGAAGCTCCTGGGTTTGGGCCCTGACGGAGCTGGACATTTTTAGAAAAGGATCTTGGCTTTCAGGTTGACTTAGCCTTGACCTTGAGTGGGTACCAGGTACAGTCAGGGGAAGTAAAGGTGGCTGTCGTGATGCTGACTACATCAAGCCACCCTGTGCTGATTAGTTTATAAAATATAGGTCCAGTCCTATACGCCCTTTATGCCTGAAGGATGCTCTACTTCTTTTGCTTATTTGACGTAGATGAGGGTACCACGGGTCGCCTGTGACGGTGGGAGACATTTTTAATGTCTCTGATCAGCTACTCATTAAAATGCTCTATCAAGACCAACAAGCAGCAGTCAGAATAGATGGAGAGACATCAGACTGGTTTGGCATCAAGCAAGGAGTCCGTCAGGGATGTGTGCTGTCACCGTATTTGTTCAACCTGTACGCCGAAAATATAATGAGAAATGTAAGAGATGATATAAACAAGGAACAATATGATGCCCTAAACATCGGTGGTCATGAAATACCAGAAATTCGTTATGCTGATGATACAGTATTACTATCAACATCACAAAATGGTTTAGAAAACTTATTAACCTCACTCCAAAGAAATAGTGAAAATCATAACTTATTTCTTAACATAGCAAAAACAAAGATAATGCATACAAACAAAACTGCCATGGAGAAGGAAATATATGTTAATGAGGAAAGATTGGAAGTGGTGGAAAATTTCGATTATCTTGGGTCACTGGTTACCAACAATGGTGACACAATGAAAGAAATTAAACGGCGACTATCAATTGCTCTTCAAAGACTAAAACAACTGAATAAATGATGGAATTGTACAGATAGAATTACAAAGGTCAGATTTTTAAGAGCATGCATCTTTCCCATTGCAACATACGCCTGTGAGACCTGGACACTTACTAAACAAGCGGAACAGCGCATAAATGCATTTGAATATAAATGTTACAGACAGGTTCTAAGAATATCTTGGGTAAAGAAAAGAACAAATGCATCTATACTTCAAGAGCTGAATTTTGAAGAGGGTTGGCTAGTAAAGACAATAAAACAAAGAAAATTGAAATATTTTGGTCACTTGAAACGTCATGGAAGTCTAGAGAGAACAATAATGGAGGGGTATATGCCTGGGAAGAGAGGAAGAGGAAGGCCAAGGAGAAGATGGGTGCAGGATGTGGCAGATGATCTCCAGATGGGTGTATCAGACGCAGGACATCTTGCTCAGGATAGGAAGGTTTTCCGGAGGGTTGTTATGGCAGCGAGGTTCCGCGAGGGACATGCTACTGAATGAATGAATGATCAGCTACCACCCGCCTCAAGCTTGACAGCCTCCAGTCAGGTGTTGATCTGCCACAGCCTGTATGCTTCACTGGGTGCCTGGAACTAGAACACAATCCAAAATCACAGCCTGTAAAAACTAATGTACCAGGCAAAGAGATTTATTAACGTGGTCGGGTTTTGCTAGTCATACTCACCATTGCTGTGATTCCAATGCCTTCTTATAGCACAGTACAACACTATCATTTAGAAATGCGGAAAGTTGCCAGCAACATAAATAGTCTTTAAAGAGACTGATTTAAGTTGGTAGTGGACTTATGCTCCATTGGTAGATGGTGGACAGATGAAGAAAGATAAAGCCTGTGGTTTTTTACTGAGTAACACTAGAACTAATTCTGCATGAACAGCTGAAAACGTCATGAGTAACATCATGAAGAAGTCTATATGGAACTGGAGAAGTGCTCTTATATGGCTAAGAAAGCCACTTTTTGAGTACTGCAGTATGACAGTTCACAACAACTTCTGATCACCTGAGTTGTTTTAAGAACCAACATCTCTGCACGCAGGGCATTTCCATGTGTGCTCCGTCCTCATCTTCATCAGCCAGCAAACAGTCTTCAGATTACCTGTACAAGATAAGACAGACATCATTTTTTTGATATTGTTATAAAATAATAGTCTCCATAAGGTTGTGATAGCCATGAAGATTAACTCTTTGAGTCCCAGAGGGTTTAGCATCACAGGCCCAAGGGGTAGTCAAAAGAGACTAAAATCGGCGCATCATGCGTTCATTGGGCTTCTAGGTAGTAACCTATGACCGTATGATGCGTTCCTTGGGACTCAAAGAGTTAAGGATGTTGGAGAAAAGCTAGGGATGTCAGATACAGTCAGCCAGTTAGTTAAACAATTATCTGAAAGTTGCAGAGATATGGTTTTATTGACAAATGACGTGAACACCAAGGAAACAGAAAAAGAAAAATGAAGATGTATTGAAAACCATTAACTGCAGAGGGTTATGACATCTGGAAAATCTAGAATATCTGAGATAAGGTTGGAAATGTCATGAACCAAATTAGAGACAGTTGATTAGTGAAATACTGTCAGAAAGTTGCAGAAATGTATGGCTTTATTCGGATATATCCTGAGGAGACCTGGGTAGAGAATTGCTTAATAGCTACTGAAATGGGAAACAAATGGAATGAAGAAAACTCTAAGACAGATTTTGATAAAGGAGGCCAAAGGTGCATGACTGGATTCCATTCATGATGTTGAAAATATTTCACTGAATACATTGGAATGGAGGAATAGATTTCTAGCCTTACTGCGTATGAACCATAATGATGCCAAAGTATGGTTTGAAAAAAAAATAGAACATCTGTTTGGGCCAGCAATAGTGCAAAACAGGTTATGTATTTATTAAAATAACTATTTTGATATAAGACTCCTAAATTATTTGGTTGACAAGATTTTAACCAGTTAAATTAATCTTGTTTTTCTAAACATACATTTCAGTTACACATACCATAATCTCAGGTAAGTAGCTTGTGCATATTCATTATTGTATCTTTATTTTGTTGTTTATTGTTTCTAAGATGTGATAGAAATTACAGTAATCATGCCATTGTCTTGTAACCTGTCAGTATTGTTGTTAATGATGTCAAGAGTGTTAAGCATGTGATATAATAGTGCAGATTGCCATGGTGACATCATAATGACAGTTTTAAAAATGGCTGCTCTACTTTTGACATGCACCTAAGAGGATGAGCATTATGTTACCCATTGTTTTTTTTTTTCAATCAGTGAAGGAGTAAACCTATATAAATTCATTGGTAAATCAGGGTTCAGTGTGTCAATACGTGTCTGTCAGTCCAGAAAATGTATGAGTGCAGTAAGAGGTCTTCAGCAGTGCATTAGACTCTGGGGTCACTACTCAGTGTTTCTGACCCAGTCGTAAACAGTCTGTCACAGATGTCATGCCATTTGAAAGCTACTGACTCCAGAAAGGTATGAACAACCACAACTTACTTTCTGCTGGCATTTACAGCTGGTGAATGGTCAGAAGAAGAAGATACGCTCCCTATGTCTCAAGATGTGAAAGCTGGCCTTTTATTTCTAGACCTATATTTTTCTAGACCAGTTGGTACTTGATGGATGATGTGGTCAACATCGGGCTGGTCACCTTTACATCCCAGGATATCTCCTGGTCACCTTTACATCCCAGGATATCTCCTGGTCACCTTTACATCCCAGGATATCTTATGGTCACCTTTACATCTCCTGGTACCTATTTTAGGGTCAGTCAGCTTGGTATCCCTTAATTATAAAATTGTTCTCTGATATGGATTTGAACCCAAGACTTTTGAGCCAGCAGGTGGGTGTCTAACCACTGCACTGCCATGATTCAAACACCAACTAATCATATAAATGTTCAAAATCAGAGATGAAACAGGAAAAGGATGTAAAGGTAAAGATAAAGTCGGGAGATGTGAACCAGCGTCACTGCACATGGTTATAAACCATAAGTCTTCTGCCACCAGTCCGTCCGCAAGTAGTGCCCCTCCATTTACCCCAGAGTGTTAACTCTGGTACCCATTACCGAGAGGCTGGGTGAACCGTGGGAACTGCCCGGTTTTGAACACCGGAGGTGGGCTGCAGCAAGTCACAGCTGGATTTGAAAACGAGTCCCTATCGACTGCACTAATGTGGCCCCCCGTACAGGAGAAGGATGTAGAGCAGAAAGAAGACTGAGAACAAGATAGAAAGAAAACATCAGAGAAACTGCAACAGCACGATGTATCTGTGGTCAAGACAGCATGAAGAGCTAGAAGCAGAACCTTATATCTCCCTTGACTCCCAAAGCAGTAAGAGAGGAAGTGAAGAAGAAGAAGAGATCACATCTACCCTGCCCACCCTTGTATTCCACATTGATGTCCTTTATTTCATCATCTAGTAATGGTGACAGATATGAAGGTCAGTGGGTCATGGACAAAAGACAAGGTCATGGAGAGCTGATGTGTTCAGATGGTACAAGTTACAATGTAAGTAGATCATACACCTGTCCTTAGCTGCATAAATCTACAGGTTACACCTGGCTGGTGCCCTAATTACGGGTGTCCTAATTATAATTTCTGTCCAGGTTGAACGAGGCACCTAGGATCTGCCTTTTTGGTCTGCCCTCCAGACTGAGATGTGGAGGGGGGGGGGGGGGGTTGGCTGAGTAGTCTCGAGACATGACATCCACCTTGAGTGCTGGAGGTCCTGGGTTCAGGCCCCGGTGAAGCTGGGATTTTTTCACATGGACTTTTAGTAATTTCCCCTGATCTCTGGGTAGTAAGATCGGACGTCCATGTGTATTGTTGCGCATGTAAAAAAAAAATTTCCCTTGGCAGTTGGAAATCGAGAAGAGTAGCCTAACTGCTCTGCCTGGTCATATTAAGAGTTAAAATAAAATCTACCCAAAGTATTTCAGGATCCTCCTCTGTGCTATGGAGATCGTGCACTGCGCTGAGTTTCTTTGGACCCAGGCTTGAGTTAGAAGTAGAACGGAGCACTTATGGGTTACCACCCTTGGGCTATGAAGTTGATCTGTTGTTTAAACAGAATAGTTCGCTGCCCAGAGGGACAATCTAATTGTTAAATCCATCACAGACTAAAATACTTTGGTCATATTAAGCCTCCTTAAGCTGATTTGAAGAGAAGTGTTGGTGAGTTTGATTTCTGGAACAAGGAGCAGGGGTCAGCAATCATAAGAGTGGACACAGGAAATCATGCATACCCTGGGTATGATGGGAGTCACTGTGGCATTGGTGGCTAGACACCCGCCTGCGGAAGGGAAGGTCGTTGGTTTGCGTCCTGACGGAGTCAGACTTTTTATTCAACAATGACCTTGACTCCCAGGTTGACACAACCTTGAGTGGGTATGATGTGCAGTCCTGGGTAGTGAAGGTGGCCGGCGTGATGCTGACCACCTCACCCACCAAGTGCCAATTCATCTAAAAAAATATAGGTCTAGCCCTATATTCCCAATACGCTTAAAGATGTCAAAAAGGGACCTTTACTTTTTTTTTTTCAACTGGGTACAATGGTTCTCAAAATGGAAAAATTGGAAAGTTGACAGGGAACTAAGTGGTTTTCCAGCATTAGAATGGGGTTCTGTAAAAGACCTGTTAGATGATGATCAGTTTTGTTGTGTGGTATGCCTATGTGGGTTGCCAGGCCCCATTTTAAGGGAGGGGGGGGGGGGGGGGTATGCAGAGAAAAGATTCACTGTGCTTCAAACAAGCACGCTGTAAAAGTAAATTAATTTTAGGTTTCCTTCAAAGTCAGTGCATCTCCCCCGTGTGGGTTCCGGGGCCCCATTGTGGGGAAAACAAGAATAGACCCACTGCCTCCCCAAAAGCATGTCGTAAGAGATGACTAATTGGGGAGCTTCCTTTGAAGTCGGAGTGCATCTGCCGGAGAGGCAAGGAACCAACAGTCTGTATTCAAGAGAATGAGATCTGTAAAACTGATGCACATGCAACACTCAGGTTCTGGAGCAGGACTGCAGTTCAGTAGTGGACGAGCAACCAGAACCTTCCGCCAGAGTTTACAGCTGGTGAACGCGAAGAAGAAGAAGAAGAAGAGTGCATCTGCCTAAGAGGCAAGGAACCAGCAGTCTGCTTTCAAATAAGCCAGATCTGTAAAATGGATGTGCATGCAAAGCTCAAGTTCTGAAACAAGACTAAAGTCCAGAAGTTAATGAACACCAGAATTTTCTCCTGGAGTTCACAGACGGTGTACATGAAGAAGAAGAAGATAAACCAGAGTTGTGTGGTACCATTTGTTGATTTTACTTTTACTTTATGCTGGAGCTAAGTAGTTAGTTAATTAGTTAGTTAGTTAGTTAGTTAGTTAGTTAGTTAGTTAGTTAGTTAGTTAGTTAGTTAGTTAGTTAGTTAGTTAGTTAGTTAGTTAGTTAGTTAGTTATTTAGTTAGTTAGTTGTTTATTTAGTTATTTATTTAGTTAGTTAGTTAGTTAATTAGTTAGTTAGTTAGCTAGTTAGCTAGTTAGTTAATTAGTTAGTTAGTTAGTTAGTTAGTTATTTAGTTAGTTTTTTATTTAGTTAGTTAGTTAGTTAGCTAATTAGTTAGTTAGTTAGTTATTTAGTTAGTTAGTTAATTAGTTAGTTAGTTAGTTAGTTAATTAGTTAGTTATTTAGTTAGTTAGTTATTTAGTTAGTTAATTAGTTAGTTAGTTAGTTAGTTAGTTAGTTAGTTAGTTAGTTAGTTAGTTAGTTAGTTAGTTAGTTTGTTAGTTATTTGGGATATGATCATTGCACTCCAGACATGTTCATTCAGGCTCAGATCCTTACCTCAGTATGAACCCCAGCGTCCTGTGACTAATAGTACCAGTTCTTTGTTGACTGATAAGTCTTTTTGTATGCCTAATAGTGCAGTGGCTTATGTGCTTACCTGCTGATCCTGAGGTCCTGGGTTCAATTCTCCATCGAGGCCAATTTTTAAAAATGACTTGAGCTTCCAGGCTGACTCCACTAACAATGTTTAGCAGGAAATGTACTGGGAGGCAAAACAGACTAGTATTGCATTGGCAACATCACATAATGAATGCCAGATTGTTACTTACTTTTACTGTATGCATTTGTTTTTAAATTCAAAAATCATTGCTTTGTCTTTTTTTTTTGTTAATTATAAAAAATTATAATGATGTACACACACACACAATTCACCTTTATAACTGGAGGAGAAGGAGGAGGAAGAGGAGGGGGAGAAGGCGAAGAAGCAGAAGAAGAAGAAGAAGAAGCAGAAGAAGAAGAAGAAGAAGAAGAAGAAGAAGAAGAAGAAGAAGAAGAAGAAGAAGAAGAAGAAGAAGAAGAAGAAGAAGACGAAGAAGAATACAAAGAAGAAGAAGAAGAAGAAGAAGATGGATGAGGAGTGGAGGAGAAAGAAGAAGGAGAAAAAGTAAGTCATTGTATTGTATGACATAATGAATTTAATTCATACATATATATGCTCACTTTGAGACATACTTAAACACACACACACCCACACACACCCGCACACACATGCACGCACACACATGCCAATTTATGAATTTTGAAATTTGGAGACACAGAATCAGGACCGCTTTGTAACACACAACTGTCTGTACACACAGGGCCAATTTATGAATAATTTCTTCCATGGTGAGGGAATGATGCGACATGCTTCAGGTATATACTACAGTGGCTTGTGGATTAATGGCTACCCAGCCGTTATGGCAACTAAGATTGTACTGATTGGGGATCAGTCTCCCTTGGTTTTGAGTCAAGGTCAACCTTTCTCTATTAAAGTGGAATGCAGAAATGATGAGGATGAACTTGTGCCTGGTCAGTGATGAGCTGTTCTGTTTTTAATATAATAGTTTGCCACTGTGGTTTAGTGGCTAGACGCTCACCTGGGGATCCAAGTCCTCAGGGAGCCAGACTTTATGTTTCAAACATGATCCCGGCTCCTAGGTTTACCCAACCTTGAGTGGGTAACAGGAATAGTCCGGGGAAGTAAAGGCTGCTGGCGTGATTTTAATCACATTGCCCACCGATTGCTGATTGGTCTATAAAATATAGGTCTAGCCCTATGTGGCCAATATGCTTGAAAACATGGAAAAGGGTACTTTTTTGAAATTTATAGTTTATTTTTTTAATGACACTTTTTCTGATTTCTTAGTCACCACTGATTGTAGTGCACACCAAGAAAATACTTGGTATAGCGGTGAGGTGCCTCAGTATAAATAAAGTTAGTTGCATATCCTTTACAGGACATTGCAGAACCAGCACCAGCATTTTTTGGCTGTTGTGGTTTTTCTAGGCAAATTTACCTCCAGTAGTTTGCCATTGCTTTCTGGATAGTCAGCTTCTTGATACCCCTGTCGAAACCAACACAAGGCGCAGGGCCCGCAGCTGGGATCGAACCCGGCACCCCAGCATTACGAAGCGCGCTCGCAACACCTAAGCCACAGACCTATATCTAATTTAATTGGGTTAAATTGGGAACTAAATTCTTATTGGACTGGCATCTGAAATACCGCTGCTTCAGTCACTGTGGTCTCAGACCTTCAGATAGCAGTCCCTGGTGGGATAATACAGAAAAAAAAAACCATGTTATGTTCTTCAGCATAAAGTGCATGCTTCAATTGTTTAATTAATGGATAGGATATATCATCATCATCAGAGTCAATGTACACTGTTGCTATTTAGTGTCCTTGAGGAGGTCAATAAACTCTTTGAGTCCCAAGCAACCCCTCCTGTGTTTATGGGTATCTTTTTCTACTTAACTCTACCAGACCTGAGGCCCTGAACTTAACTGTGACAAGACATTAGGAAATTCCCCAAAAAGCAGTACAGTGGTCTGGCACAGTTAAAGTCCATGCCATGTGGCATTGGTAGTGATGTCGATCCACAACCTTCTGTCTCATGTACTTTCAATCAACTCTGATACAGATGATCCTCCATGCCATTATGTCAAACTGTCCAGCATCTGTTCTCTCGGTCTCCCTCTGCATCTTCTTCCCTGCAACTTTCCTGCTGTCACAATGCACTTCAATTTTCTCCTTCTCATCACATGACCAAAGAAGGTAGACTGGCTCTAATTTCTTTAACTCTTTATGCACCAACCGGTTATTGCTCCAGTTTAGTCTGTAAATAAATGTCCCTGTAAAGGTTCGGGGGTCCTAATTTGGAGAAAAAGGATGGGCCCACTGTCTTCCTACAAGCATGCTGTAGGAACTGACTAATTAGGGATGTTTCCTTCACAGTTGGAGTGCATCTGACTGAGAGGCGAGGAATCAACAAACAGTCTACATACAAATAAGCTAGATCTTTCAAATGCTTGCTTCATACAATTTCCGAGGTTGACTCCTGGTTAGTGGTGTACCAGAGTTGGAAGAAGACACTCGTGATGTCATTGATGTAGTTTCAGTTAAGTGTAGTCAATGCTGAGTAAATAATTATTGTGGCATAGTTGTGGAAATGAACAGCGATGATGTTAGTTGAGTGATTGTGATGGAATAGGAGAAATAAACTGGCAGTATGTATACTAGAATTCGGGAGGCGTTCCAGTGTTGTAAATTGTTGAAAGCTGTATTTGTTCTAGAGTAAACGAGCTATATTAAAAGTGACCAAGCTTTCTAACAGGTATGCAAAACGCACAATTTATCACAGACATCAGAAGGAGACAGTCATCATTTTTCGGCCATGTTATGAGAAGAGGGAAAATTGAACATGTTGTGACCACTGAAAAGATCTGTGGAAGGAGGGATAGAGGAAGACAACGAGAGAAGATTCTTGACAGTCTTGTTGCATGGCATGGAGGTGTGTCAGCACATGGACTGATACATGCTCCAGTGGATTATGGAGAGGCATGATCACCCATGCCAGTCGGCAAGGCACCTGATGATGATGATGATGATGCAAAACTCATGTGGAATATGACTAAAGGGAGAAAAACCAGAAAACTTCACCTGAGTTTGCAGCCAGTGAATGCAAAGAAGAAGAAGAGTCAGTAAGGTTATGGATGTCTCCATTCAGGATAGGCCTGTTATTGATAACAATATTGCTAAGATACTTTTGTTCACTTTATTTTAATGTAGACTCAGCCAGGGAGCTCCAGGTAATTGCAGGCTTCAAGTACTGGGAACCTAAAGAAGGATCTGCCCTTTTTGATATGATTGAAGATGTTGAAAATAAGCCGATTCCAACTCCATTGTAAGTTAAAAACTGCTTTTCATGTGTTAAGTGTGTTGCTTGGATTAACTTATACTGAATACTGGGTTTCCCATGGGGGTTCTGGGGCTTCATTTTGGAGAACAAAAAATAGACCCACTCTGCCACTTTGCCACTGCGCCACCCCACAAACATGTCATTGTAGGTGACTAATTAGATATGTCTTCTTCAAATTCAAGCTGCAACAGTCTGCACACAAATAAGCCAGATCCGTAAAATGGATGTGCATGCAAAATTCAAGTTCTGGATCAAGACCAAAGTCTAGAACTGGACAAACAACCAGAACTTTCTGCTGATGTTTACAACTGATGAAAACTAAGAACAAGAAGAACAAGAAGAAGAACAAGAAGGAGAAAGGAAATCAGTTGATTTTTTTTTTAAATGTAAAATTTTTACATTAAATGGGAGGGTGTGGTTAGTGTCACACCAGCTGCATTTACTTTCTCAACATTTTCTGCTATTGGGTGGTGAATGGATACATGAAGTAGCATATGTGGTCAAGGCTCTTTGGGTACAAGCAACGGAATCAGTAGAGAAAGAAGATTTGTATGGCCTGGAGAGAATATATTGCACCTGGGTGTAACCAGAGGGTCTGGCCAGCTTACTACACTCAGAGGAAAGGCAAGATGGACATATAACCAGATTGTGACCGGTACCATCAGTATTGGAACTTTTCGCTGGCTGCTAAAGATAAGGATGGAGTACACATGGGAATGCTTCAAGTGCTGTGATGTCAATTTTTGGCTCTGCCCAACTCAACTCAACTTCTTCTGCTATTTTTGACATTTTAGACTGGGTCAGCCTCCATTTCTATGTCTGTTTTCTAAAAACTCACTCTGGTGAGAATTTAAACAGATGGCCATTTGTCATCGGGCAGTTGAAGTGTGTGTGTGGTGTCTCTAAGTGTAGCATTCAGTTAGCAGCATTTTCAAAAACAATTAAATCATTGTAAAATCATATTTATTTCAGCTACAGTGTTGTCCCCTACCCACTGACTGACCAACTTCCTGAAACAAAAACAACAGATGACCATAAGTCTGAAACAAGAATGACCAGTACCAGAAGGACTCTTGAAGAAGGTGTGACTATATCTACAGGGTTTATGCTTTTCTTCCTTAGTTTGCACTTTGTTTGGTAGAAATGATGTGATTACAGTAAAGCTATGAAAGTCTACAAAAGATAGGAAAACATAAAATATGGACCTCTGTCAGCTTTACTGACCATTAACAATAATTAAATAAATGATTGCTGTGACAAACAATCAGCAGCTAGAAAGGACAAAAGAAAACACAACAAATAAAGTGAAGATCCATTTTCATGCCTTAGGCGCATCGGGCATATGGGAAGAGGGTCCCATATTTTTACAAACCAATCAGGCACTGGGTGGGTAATGTGGTCAGCATTACGCCGGCCGCCTTTACTTCCCCAGGACAGCCATCATGGTACCCATTTCAGGTTGGGTCGACACCCCATTCCATGATAAAAATCTGCGCATTCAGCAGTGTCGGACTCGCAACGCCTAAGCCACTCTGTGTGTGTGTGCATGCATGTGCGCGTGCGTGTCTGTGTGTCTGTGTGTGTTTCTGTGTGTGTGTGTGTCTGTCTGTGTGTGTCTGTCTGTGTCTGTCTGTCGTCTGTGTCTGTGTGTGTCTGTCTGTGTCTGAGTGCGTGAGTGAGTGAGAGAGAGATTGAGTGTGTGTGCATGCGTGCGTGTGTGCGTGCATGTGTGTATTCTTATGCTAATGAAGACTAACCAGTGCAGTTTCCTTGTTAATTTATTATTATCAGTTCTGCAAAACCAAAGCATTTCACTTGTCTCCTTTGAAAAAAACAAATATTTTTTTAAAAATTTCTTTTAGAAACTATTTTCATTTGCAGTGTCTCCAGAATCTGTGTGCTTATTTTTGTTGCCATGAAGTACGACCAATTCTTCTGTGTGTTACCATTTACAGAGACTCAGTTTAAATGTTCTAGCTGCTTGTTCATTGTCCAGGTTTCTGTACCGTGCTCGTTTCACAGATTATGGCTTCCCTAGTGCCGCTACTTTTAGAAACCCAAATTATTCTTCGGAAACTTTTATTTTGAGTTCTGTTTCACATGATCTTGAGAAGTATCTTACTTATACGTTCAACTAAGTTTACTCAGGTGCCAGAACTTTAAAAATGGGGAATGGTGTTCAACGTTCTTTTCTGTGTGTGCGTTCCTTGGCCCATTGTGGTGTGGGGAGTGTGGGGGGGGGGGGGGGGGACCTACTGCCTCCCTAACAAGCATACCAAAATAATTGACTATTTAGGGGTTTCCTTTGAAGTCAGAGTTCATCTCCCCGAGAAGCAAGAAACCTCAGTCTGAGTACAACAAAGCCAGATCTCTAAAATTAGTAAAGCTCAAGTTCTCAAACAATACCAAGTCTAGAAGTTGATGAACAACCAGAAACTGTTGGCAGAGTTTATGCAAGTAAACACACTGAAGAAGTATATGTGTCCTGGATCTGGCATTCAACTTATGGATGCCATATGGAAAGAAGACTAGTGACCCAGATGAGCCAGAATATGTGTAAAGAAGATAAGGAAGCTAAAACATTCATAGAAAGGAGATTTTAAAATAACAGTGAGAAGCTTCCTTTCATACTGGTAATCTACTCTTATGACCACATTCGTGGGAAACGTTTGATTCATTTGCTTTGTGTTCTAATGATTGGGCCTTAAGGTTTGGACGCTTGGACTTTGTCCTTTGGTTTGTGAATGCAGGTGTTTACGAGATTCCTGGGGTTTGTTGCAGGACTTGCAGAGTTTGTACACACTGCTCTCTCAGATAACCAGTCCCTATGCAGAGAGAGACCAAGCCAAATGGGATAAAAGCCTATACAATATAATAGTGTCCCCTATACCTGAGCTCCTGGGCATTAACATGAAAAAACGAACATGATATACAAAAATATTAGTTACATGCATACAAGTGGTAGAATAAGATGAAACTTGGAGACATTGTAGAAAATAGGCTTATCTTTTATCTAGCGCCAATATTCCACCTTTGTTTGCCAATCCACTCAGGAGGATCAGGATTGTTTCACAAAGTGAGCACCAGATGTTGCTGTTTGAGGGACACGCCCCCTTCTCTTACTACTGATCTATTTCTTGATTTATAGTTTTCAAGATTTTCCTCATTATTTGAGCTGAATGTGTCACTTCAAATGTGAACGTATTCTTCATGAAATTATGATGCAGCAGAGTCTGAATAAACCAAAGTATCAATCACCTGTTGGACTGTGAAAAGCCTAGACCTACTTTACTTTCCTGTTGAAGTGCTTGGTTCATCAGCTGCTCAATTGTTTGTGAATTTTCAGAATTTTTTAACATAAAACAACAAATTTTATCCAAACGCACGTGGGCAGACGTCTAGGAAGACTATCCACAAGGTCTGATGACGATTGGCTAGTTATTTTTAGTCTGTGACTTACTATGCAAATGGCCGAAAATTAGGGCCAACGGTATAGCGTCAGGTTAAGAAATTCCCGGAAACTGGGGCCAGTGGTCTGGTAGGGTTAAACATTTTTTTTTTACAGAAGAGTATTGCTTGTCAAACAGCCTTATACACTGGTTCTGGGAAAACTGCGAATGAAAAGATAATTACTGAAGAACAAACCTGACGATTAAAATATATTGGCCACATTAAACACATAACACTTTTTTGAAAACAGTACTGGAGGTAAAGGTCAAGGGCAAGAGGTAGACAATGATATAGGTGCGAGGACAACATCAAGAGATGACAAACAGCAGTCTGAAAGAGTGTACAAGCAAGTCAAGAGACAGAGTGTGTTGGAGATCCATTTCAGCAGTCTTCACTGTGGAGACAGCAACTGACTGAGATTGTTTATTATTTTTAATCTTTAGCTTATGTATTTTCTATGTTATAGATGATGAAGATGATGTCAGAGCAAGCATCGATGAAGCTTTTCTTGACCCCCCTCAGATTACTAGCCTGATAAAAGAGAGCAAGTTATCCATTGAGACCGCAGATGATAGATCTAGTTTTATGTCTGCTGTGAAGCAGCCTTCAGTAGCTTTGCTGACTTACTTGCAAGAAGAGCTCCCAGGTAGTACTCTTACAGTTTTGTTTTTAATCTTTTAACCCCAAAATTTGACTAAAAAGCTTGACCAAATGGGGAAGCAGAAAAACATGCACAAAAAAACTCAAATAACGTAAATATTCGGCCGGGCAGCCTTTGTCAAACATCGTTTATTTTATTTTATTTCATTTATTCCACATCACATTTTTTTTAAACGTTGCTCACGTCACCTGTCGTGAAATGATAGCCATTACGCATCGGTCTGTAAGGCTGATAACCTGCCTTACCTGTACTCTGCACAAAATTCAAACTTGGACTCGCCCAGAAATATATAGTCCCTTATATCTATATATATAGGCCTGTATTGGACAACATTATTATGTCTGCCTTTTCTGGTTACTTCAACTAAACTCCACTTTTAAATGTATATCTCTTGGAGATATATTTAGGGAGTTATTTGAGGTTTCTTGGAAACCGATTTACTCCTTGCCCCAGTATACAAGGAACTTCTTTTGTACCAACGCCTGAAGTGTCTAAGCGACGTGATTCTCCTTGCCAGCTTCTCAAGCGTCCAGATGTGTTAATCTGTGCCTGTATAACTTTCACTTTTCAAGGCAATCTGGAAATGTCTCAGTTTTTACATATGCTTGGGATGTATATTTTCTGAAGAGCTGGCAGAAGATTCACAGTCCCACCAACATCCACCAACCATCCAACCACCAGAAACAACTTGGTACCCACCAGCTAACACCTGTGAAGGTTCCTGACATCTCCAAAATGTGGGAGAGTGTGCCTCAAACAGCTACCAATGCTAGAGCTTAATGTGGCTCAAAGACATTGTGTGTCCTTACTGGTGATAGAGACTTGCTAGATACCAGTACAGTTGCTACATCNCAGTTTTTACATATGCTTGGGATGTATATTTTCTGAAGAGCTGGCAGAAGATTCACAGTCCCACCAACATCCACCAACCATCCAACCACCAGAAACAACTTGGTACCCACCAGCTAACACCTGTGAAGGTTCCTGACATCTCCAAAATGTGGGAGAGTGTGCCTCAAACAGCTACCAATGCTAGAGCTTAATGTGGCTCAAAGACATTGTGTGTCCTTACTGGTGATAGAGACTTGCTAGATACCAGTACAGTTGCTACATCTTATATAGTGAAGTACTCTTACTACTTGATCCAGTGGAGCAGAATTCCCAGAGTCAAAGACAGTCAAATCATCCGGAGCTGAGGGAGGCATCATAGACAGAGAGAAGAGAAGATAAGTCTAATGCTTCGCATGATGTTGTGTTCCTCACAGCTCCTTGTGTCCAGTGATGAGAAGATGTCATCTCCAAGACCTTCTGTCTGTGTAGTCTCTTAGTGATTTGGACATGATATCCTGAGATCTGGCATTTGTCTCACTTTTTATATATCTAATTTATATTGATTACATACATTCATTTTCATGGCTGACTTAGGTGTCTCTATTTCACCTTTTTAAGTGTTTAGCAGTTGTGTATGTATGTGTATCTTCATTATATGTGTTAACATGGTTATGATAATGAACTATCATAACCTGGGGGCTTTCTTTAGTAAGTAGTGGGGGTGTCCAGCCAAGTGTGCCTAGAAATATTATATATATATATATACTGACATATTTTGTAGTGCCAATACTTGAGTTGCCCTACTCCAGAGATAAGTTGATCGTATATTGGCCACTGGGAATCCCTTAGACCAATACGAGCCAAACGACTCAACATAATTATCTCTGAGTGCTGCTGGTTCTGAAGGAGAAATCCTTACATTAGGCACGCGACAGGAGTGATATGTGACATCACCCCTTGAAGATCTGTATAATCTCCTCTCCACATTGTTATTTTTGTGTAGTTCACTTCATGTTTGATAAAGGCTGCCCGGCCGAAATGTTACGTTATTTGTGTTGTTTTGTGCACATTTTTCTGCTTCCCCATTTGGTCAAGCTTTTTAGTCAAATTTTCATGGAATGTCTTGCCCTCTAACAAGCATGACATAAGAGTTGACTAGTTAGAGATGTTTTCTTTGAAGTTGGAGTGTGTCTGCCTGGGAGGTGAGAAACCGTCAGCATTGTTGCGTGCTGAATTAATTTGCTGGTCAATTGTACCAGAGTACAGAGGTGAGATCGCATGTGTCAGTCTTAAAGGCACTAGATGATGATGATAATAGGGATGGTGATAAGTGCAAACAGTCCACGTTGCAAGATGAGGATAGTGACAAGTGCAAAGGGTCCAAAGGGTGCAAAGTGCTCACTGGTGTAAAAAGGCTCTTTCACTTACTGTACTCACTATATATTTAGAATCAAATCTTTACTGAGACTGATTTTTATAATTGACTTGGTCTTCCAGGTTGACCCAGGCTAAAATGGATACCAGTAACTTTTGTGAGAAATTAAGATGGCCAGAATGAGGATGACCAGAATAATCTGGAAAGGAAAACCAGTAGGTCAAGGCACTGGTGACCCCGACTAATGTTTCATGGCCTAGGATAAGTGAAGTCTAAAACATCACGTCCCAGTGGCAGTATTTGCTAATAATCACCTTAGTTCATTTGTTGCAGCAGACCAGGAAGGCGAGGCAGATGACGTCACTCAGTTGTTTCCCCCTGTTGCAACGAAACCAACTACCAATGGAATATGCGAGTGGCTGAATTTGCAGTTGGCTCCACCACCTCCTATGTATCGCCCATTTGTTATCATGGAGGAAGAAACAAAAACAGCAACAAGAAAGTCATTACTGAAAGGTAGGTGCTAGCATTGAATAGTTTAAATCATAGTATAAGTCTTTTATACAATTACATATGGCTCGTCTAATATGTGCTGGGCTATGTGGGTGTTTGAGGCAACAAGAATGCAGATTATCTTGATATTTTATTGCATCTCTTCAGGTGCATACTACAGTAACAATTAAATAAAATGAAGCAAACAAATGAATTCTTTGAAACTGAGAGGCAGAATGAATACTGAAATAATTACCACAAAGAGCAAAGCAAAATACTCAAAAACCTGAAAATATTGGCATCAAATCCTCATCCTGTATTGGTAAAATCAATCAATCAATCAGGTGCCGTCTCCACAATGAAGGTTGGCTGCAATGGATCTCCAACAAGCCCTGTCTCTTGCCCTTGATGTACACTCACTCATACTGCTGTTCATCCATCTCTTGATGTTATCCTCCCACTTGTAACACTGTCTGCCTTTTGTTCGCCTACCTTGAACCTTTCCCTCTAGGATGATCTTTACAATACTGTTATGTCTTTTAATGTGGCCAAAATATTTCACTTGTCTCTTTTTTTTTTTCACCTAGCAACTCTCTTTTCATTCCCAATTTCCTCAGTACCTCTATATTTGATAGCTTTTGTTTCCATGAAATACGACCTAATCTTCTGTATATCCACATCTCCCAAGAATTGATACGATTTTCCAGTTGTTTGTTCATTGTCTATGTCTCTGTGCCATACAGTAAGGTTGAGAATACATAACATTTGACAATTCTCATTTTTAATGTATTGCTTATTTCTCTTGATGTCAGTAACTTTTGCATGTTGTTGAAAATGTTTTTGGCCATCCCTATTCTTTTCTTGACTTCTGTTTCACTTCTGCCGTCACATGTTATTACTTGTCCAAGATATACGAAATTTTTAACTTGTTCCAATTTCACCCCGTTCACTGTGATATTCATTGTTAGCTGATTATTTTCTTTGCTAAATATCATGGTTTTTGTCTTTTTCAAATTTATATCTAATCCAAATTCCGCACTCCTTCTGTTTACTTGCTCCACTAGGTCTTGCAACTCCTGCTCACTCTCTGCTAGCGACACTGTATCGTCAGCATATCTCAGATTGTTTATTATTCTACTATTGATGTGCAGTACTGGTAATTCTACAATTTCTAAAAAAATGGTTTCTGTACATAAGTTGAAAAAACTAGGCGACAGCACACATCCTTGTCTCACTCCTCTCTTGATCTCTATCTGGGGTGAGCAGATGTTGTCATATCTTACTGTTGCTTCTTGCTCCCAGTATAAGTTTCTAATAAGTCTGATATCCTTTCCATCTAGTCCTATGTTTTGAAGAGCTGCAATTAGTTGTTCATGATGCACTCTGTCGAAAGCTTTTTTGTAATCTATAAAACATGCATAAATATTTTTCTAAACTTCTATATATTTTTCAGTCAGCATCTTTAGACAGATTATGGCCTCTCGAGTACCACTGTTTTTACGGAATCCAAATTGCTCTTCAGAAACTTCTTTCTCTATTTTATCTTGAATTCATTGGTAAAATACATAACCCATTATTAAGTGGGTATGACATATATGCATAATTACTGTCTCAGTGGGTGTGGTTCATAAATCCGTATGCTACTAAAAATAACTAGTATGTTCTTAGATAACTTTTTCTTGGCATTCAGAAGCTGTAAATTCTGGTGGAAAGTTCCGGTTGTTCGTCTACTTCTGAATCCATTTTACAAATCCAGCTTATTTATTTGTAGACTGTTGATTCCTTGCATCTCAGGAAACACCCCTAATAAGTTTACTTTTATGACAAGGGCTGTGGGTCTATTCTGTTTTACTGCCACAATGGGACCCACGGAAACTGCATGGAGATTTTTAGAGGACAATAGATTCTGACAATCACAGCTTGCAACAACAACAATGTCAACAAATCCACAGAGCAAGTACCCACTAAATAAGCAATGTGGATGCACACTAATTATCAACTTAAATTGTTAATGGAGCACAAGAGAGGCAAGGGAAAAGGCAAAACTAATAGATAATTTGGCATTATATCATGGAAAAATATCTGAAATGACTGACAGTACACAAAACATGAATGTTAAAACAAAAATCAACATACAGCACTCAGCACATTTTGTTAAGTGCTCCGCCCCCATTTTCAGCAGTAAACTCAGTTTTGATTCCTATAGACCAGTTACAGTCCTATTGTGTATCTACTTTGCCCTTTCCTTTAGTTGAGCTTCAGCCAGATCCCCTGGTCTCTCCTTGCAGCACCATTATCCTCAGACCGTAATGATCTGTTTGTGCCTCCGCACTGTTCACTCGCTCCAAAAGGAACTGTACACAAATTATTTCATGTTATAACAATTCCAAGAGCTTTGTTGAGAGTACTAAAGCTACAGGTGGTCATGGCCTATTTGACGAATGAGGTGAAACGTTAATAGTTTGGGCAGAGTCACATGATTTGACAAAAGGTATGGGGAAGACTAACAGAGAGGATGTTAAACAGTTCGGCATCATGTTATGAAGTTAATTATTTAATTAATTAATTAATCAGTTAAGAATTGGCATCATTGCACTCAGGACATTCCCACGTGTGTTCCGTCTTCTTCTTCAGTAGCCAGTGAATAGTTGACATGCTAATATTACCAGATGCAACCTGATTAAAAGTGTGCAAATGTTTCCCTCTCAGATCTTCCAGAACCTTAACCTATACCCCATTGATTTAGTCTTTCAATGAATGCATTTCCAGTCTGTTCTACTGCACTGTAAATTTGATACCAGAAAACCTTCACCACATCCACTTTATTAGAAAGTAGCTCATGCCCAGAGAAGTGGCAGCAGCTAATCTATCAGCCTACTCATTACCTCGTACACCTGAATATCCTGGACAGGAAAACCATGATATGTTCCTGATCTGAGTTTTGCCAAGCCATGCAAGCCACTCTATGCTCAGGACACCAGTTTCAATTTTCTGAAGCGTGCTCTTTGAGTCCCTTACAATTACAACATGTCAGGCTATGCCGCTCTGAAGCTATCGGAAAGCTGCCGTTACTGTCTCCACCTCCATTCTTATACTGGATGTAGTGACTTTATACATGATGCTCTATGTTTTCAAACAATATCATGTTATGGAAGAACATCTAACTGAAATGACTGACAGTACACAGAACAGATAGGCTGTACACAAACATTATGACCAACACAGTATAATTCATAAATTACGATCCAACATCATAGCACCTGGGACATTTTCATAAGTGCTATGTCCACCTCTTTAGCAGCAAGCACAGAGTTCCACTTCTGATGGTACCAGTAACAGTCTGACTGTATGTCCGTCTTGTCTCTTTCTTGAGTGTTGAGCATCAGCCAGATCCCATGGTCACTCGTGTCTGCATCATTCTCTTCAGGTCATGATGATCTGTCTGTGCCTCAGCACTGTTTACTCTCTCCTAAAGGACCTTACAATATCTAGCTGCTCATGCATCAGTTCACCTCCAAGTGGTGCAGAATCAGCCAGTCTGTTTGTCTGTTCATTTCCCATCTCACAGGCATACTCTAGATAACATATCCAAAGGATGCTTACTACTGCGGACCTCTGAAGCGATGCTTGTCACTTTGCACAGAGCATATCTGTCTCCCCCATTCCCAAGATGCTCTGTGAGCCAGTTACAATCACAACAAGTCTGTGCAACTGGTTCTCAGTCCAGAAGGAGGCTTCAGTGACTACGCTGTGAACTGAATGAATATTCAAAATGAAAAAAAAAAGTGAAAAAAATTCCACATTGAAAATTGCTGCAGTAGGTATCTTCTAGTGTCTTTAGGAATATTATGTACAGATTTTATAATCTCTTCCAGGGTGCGACTCTTGTACCACTGTCTGAAAGCTACAAGAGCAATATTTTTCTAAAGCTGCAAAAAATAGTTTATTAGTTAATTGAGAATTGTGAAATGGGTTCACTAGTTTCTAAACCATACAGCCACACACGAATGAGCATATGGGGCTAGACCCATATTTTTATAGACTAAACAGTACTTGATAGGTGATGTTGATGAATGCAGGCTACCTTTACATCCCAAGACAATTCCTGGGGCCAAACTTGAGCTGGATCAACCTGGGAGTACAAGTCAGTTCAAATAAAATCAGTGTGGATTGAAACCTAGAACCTTTGGGCTGACGGGCAAGCATTCAGTCACCTGCCTAATATTTGTAATAATCATGGTTTGCGTTACTTAATTATGTATTTTATTTATACTGTAATTTTATTGTTTACTGTAATTTTATTGTTTACTGTAATTTTATTGTTTACTGTAATTTTATTGTTGAGGTGTTTGTGCATATTTTGTAATTCAGATCCAAAATTTGAAGCAGACGCAGAAGATACAGAAGATGATGATAACATAGATGATATAGGTGAATCATTCACTGATTCCATCACTTGTGTTATTTTGTATAATACAGTTAATTTCAAATGTATTTATCAGAGCGACAGTTTTTTCCCCTTAAAATTATCACATTACTTCATTTTTAAAACACAGTGTTATGCATGTTGCACAATCAGTCATTACTTTTTAGATACATGTGTTTATATGGTTTGCATGATCTGTAAGGGTTTTGTTCACATTTTTAGAAATTCAAGCTTGTTTACATTGATGTTTCAAGGCATGCAGTTTGTTGCTGTAAATGTTTATTACAACTTTTGAATATACTTTCATGACAGTTATTGAATTTTATTTGTTCACATGTCTAGTTACACATGTTTTATAAATTCTTTAAACATCTGTTATTTTCTGATAACATAGCCATACACCTACTGTGATGTCTATGCAAAAAAATTCATAGGTATTTAAAGAAATATGAACAGTCAGCTTTAGGTTTTTTTTTTTTTTAAGAATTAGAACTCCCTAGAAATTACAAAGTGAAATAAAGATATCATGAAAGAAATTAACTCACAAAGATCCTCTTATTAGTTACAGTGCTCCGTGGGGGTTGGGGAATGTTGGGGG